CTTACTTTATAACCGAGATACAGGTAGTTTTATTAACTTTGCCAATTTCTTTCTTGTTTCATAACTTACCAACCGCTATTATGTTATTGAAATTTGGCACATGTATTCTCTACAACTTACCATAATCTATTAAGGCATTAATAAGAAACACAATGCAGTTCCATCTTTAAAAAAAAAAAATTATAAATTTGTCCATCCTTATAAGAACACACTACAAGTCGTTAAATTTGTATCCATATTTGAAAAAGCACACAAAAAAATTTAATCATATGCTTTTAATTTTTGAGTAGATGATTTTCATTACTAAAATTAATTATTTTTTATATTATTTTAAAACTAAGCACATTTTTAGAAGTTACATATTTTGTTGGTACTTGTATGCGTGTACACTACAATAAAATGTACTTAAAAGTTCGTATTTAGAACCAAATATCATAATTATTACTTTTTAATTAATCACTGCATGTCGTACCAACATCATAAAGGATTAAATTATCCTCAATATAACGTGATAAAGTTACTAAAACCCCCTTTATTTTAATTTTTTATCTCCAAAATGCTAAAAAATAACAATTTAGACGTTATGTTTTAGCAGCAAAATCATCTGCACAATTTGCACATGACTAATTTTAGTTTTTTTTGGTCTCTTTAAATATGGAAACGAACTTAACTAATAAAGAAATGTACTTTTTTGTGTAACTCAAAAATAATTTGAAGTTAAAAATGTTTCTAGTATAATAGTCTGTGCGCAAAAATAATAAACACCGCTGGATTTATCTTTAGGTTCGCCAACTGGCCGTGTTAATGCACTTGAGACCGGAGAATCAACCATACGAGGTCGATAGATACTCAAACAAATTAATAAAGTAGTCCCAACGGACAAGTAAAAGATATTACCTGCTCAGGGGTGCGTTTAGTGGGTAAATGATAAGCCTGACTTGCATTAATGATCCGGGAGTCCCAAACTTTGGAAAAGGGAGAACCTGTACCCAATCTCTATAAGGAATATCCACATACCAAAAAAAAAAGATTAAAAAGTTACTTCAATCGGAAACTAATTTGTCCACGACCACTTAATAGTAAATCAATATTCTACCTCCTAACTAAAAGCATATGGTACCCATATATCACTAGAGTGAATTATGATAATTCACTCTCTTCTAATTCTGGCAATTTCCGGTAGATAAATAAAGTTGGGCGATACTTTTCATAACGATATTTTCTAGATCGAAAAATCAGAAATTCAAAAAATCTGAAAATCGGAAAATTGAAAGGTTGAAAAAACAACAGTTAGTTACCTATGTTTAATAAAAACTTTCCATTCTACACTTAACTTTTATTTAATAAAGAAACCATAATGGTATAATGGTACAAAGTATAGTATTAGACTCGCCTAGGGCTCACGCAAACGTCACCCTGCGTGAATAATGGCTACCATAAATTGCTCGTTTAATAATATATTTTGGGCCAGTGTATCTAAAAATATACACAATCAAACACTGAAAAGAAAATTCGAGAGACGCTAAAATGGTGGTTCCCACCTTATCGAGACTGAAGCCCACAAGGGTAAACTCGTAGCGTAACAAAAACGAGAAATGATTTAACTTGGAACGAAAGACCGAAAGCCTATAGTAGTATTAGGACGTTGAATTTTTTGTTTTGTGAAACATTGGCATTACTTAGGTTTATCCATGTGATGATTTTCACAAGCCTTGATTTTTAAAACCATTCTATATCGCCTTTTGATTAGGGTTTAAAAACTTGTTCGAGCAATTTTTCCAATAATAATTGGCCCTTTTACGTCTTAAGCCTGCTTATGTAAAATATTTGGGCTCCTTATTTTGCCTATTTATATTCTAATAAAGGACATAAAGGATAGAAGGATGAGTATTGCAACTATGTTAAAAGAAATAAATTGGCTTTCAGTTAAAAATTATATTCAGTACATGACTGATATTTATTTATAAAATAAAAATGACATAGTACCATCGCATCAGATCTATTAGAAAAAATTCAATATAATTCGCAATATCACAATTATAATACAAGAAGCCAATCTGACTTTCATGTACGGCAAGCCATCACTAAAAGTTCCCAAAATATAATTTTTATTAAAGGTGTAAAAAATTCAATTGATTGTCAACAGAAATTAAAAAAAAACAATAAATGTATTCAAAAGTAACTTCAAGAAGTTTACTAATTATTATTTACAATTCGCTGGTTGAATATGTAAACCAGCATTATATCCTACCTCTCTTTTATACAGTGAATTTTGAAATTTGCTTCATTACGTGTTGATTTATTAATGTTTAAAAATAACAAAACCTCACAAAATAGGAAAGCAACTAGACTAACAGTGACCTTCTAATGGCAAAAAGTCTTACTTCACGTCTGAACCAAAACCGAAATCATGCAGTGCCGAATTTTAATTATAAGGATGAGTGCGCTACGTTAATTTCCGTTATTCTGAAACAACAATTAGTCGAGAATTAATGAAGCAAATTTCAATTTTTTTTACTCGGTTGAATAGAGAATAAAACCCTCTTTCAAATGAGCTATCACTCACCACCCCATGCCATTTAAATTTTTCGAAAGGGTTGCTCCTCTCCAGTAAGGGATGAAATTAAGGGTAAACTATTCATACAAAAATGTACATTGTAGAAATCAAAAATCGACGTGTCTCGGCGATTTTCCTAACAAGACTCCAGTAATGAGTTAGATAGGGGGGGTAAGACTTATGGTGCTCACTGTTTAATAAAAAAGTGCTTTGTATAAGAACATTATAATATCTGTCTTGCTGCACATTTATTTATGGAAAGCCTTAATTGAGATACACTACAAATTATTTGCAACAAATATCAAAAGAAGCATACATTTTTAAATAATTTTACATTTAAGAGCCATTCCCACATCATAGTTGACATCTTGATACCTGACAGGCATAACCAAGCATTATTCTGATTTTGGCCAAATAAAATGGCCGGTTAATTATTGGGGTTGCCAATAAATTTGATGAATGTGTTTTTGTGGCTAGGGGCGAAATAGTAGTACGCTTAAGTTAGCACCCCCATAAAAAAGTAATTTTTAAGAAACTGCTTATATATTTTTCATAATTGGTAGGCTTGGCGACTAATTTTGAATAAAAATGCCTCCAAAATGGCTATATTTGTAAATATGAAGGTCGCAACTCGCCTTAGAAATTTCACTTTTACTATCAACAGCTGTTGTTTGACAGGTCGTTAGAGAATGTTTGCAATTTATGAAATGTAAAGAATGTTAGGGATGTTGACGTTAGAAATAATTGGAATTCCTAAAATTGTCACATAAGAAATGCATAAGCGGATTTTAAGAAAAGTGATATTAAAGTAGTTAGAATGAACCGAAAATTCTGAAAATCAATAGGGTTCTAAGTTAGAAAGAATTATTCAAGAAGATCAAAACTGCAAGTCAATTAGAACTTTCGTTCTAGAGTTATTGTGCCGGCATACATATACACAGACGACCAGACGAAAATTTTTTTTTGCATTTTCGGACTCAGAATGATCGGAAACATAAAAAAAAGTTTAAAAAATGGGGGTAAGAAAATGTTTTCGTCTGCACGAATGCAATACTGAGGCCCTATAGGAACGGCCTCAGTAATTATTTAAAAATGAAATAAATTATTTTATTAAAACAACTAAAGAAATCACATTGGAATAAAAAAACAATAAAAATCATAGAATTTGAGGGTGTGCTTTGGCGTTAAACGTGTTAAGTTTTTAGGATGTAATAAGGTGCCCAATTCAAAAATGTATTTATATACTTGCTGGATGTTACAAGAATAGCAATTTTCTTGTAGAAATGGTATACTGTGACGTAACAACTGGATGTCACAAGATGCAAGGTTTTTCTGGATGTCACAAAGTGTTGTTAATAAAAATATATACCGTGTATACTTTGGATCTCACAACGATAGGACGTTTTATTTTTTTAAAATGTGTATGGTTGTAATATTTTTCGCTCAGTGATAATATTTTTTAAATTAAAAGAAGTCATATTTTTATTTTTTTCCTAAAGTCTTTGTAAAGGGTGGATGTCACAAAGTCAAAATTTTTGCTGGATGTCACATGATACGCTGGTCGAGTATATATATATATATATATATATATACTTAATTTGTCATTTGTATCCAAATTGACGTTTGATTGGTTTTATTCTATTTATTATAACTTTGGGGTTTTCTTGCTGGTTCTTTCCCCTCATTTGATAAATTAATTATTTTTTTTTATTGCACCGAACCAACCTATATTTAATCTTTATAAATATATTTTATATACTTATAAATTTTTACTTTCTGATTCTGTCATCTATAATATTTTCAATAAAGATTAGATATAAATCAATAGATATTTTCTTTTAACCTTTACCACTCCCGCAATAACACGTAAGTAGCCAATAGATAATGAATCTTTCAGTCTGTCACTCGTTGTGTCCTAGTCACTTTATAGTCGATCACGCCGCTACTTTATTTATCATACTTTTATAAAAGAGAGAGATATTAGTTAAGTTGTCTCTCTTTATTTCAGTTGGTTACACTACAGTACGTGTAATTGAGCTCGAGCTTACGCTATATGAGCTCTCCAGGCCAACAAATTATTTAGAAATATAGAAAACAACAAAAATAGAATTATAAAAAACATTATTAACATGTAGGAAGAAGAATTACAAGATATCCAAGAATTTAACTTTAAACATTTATTAATTAATTAATTAACCTTGAAGAAACCTGCAAATATTAATTTCTTAATTTCTTATGGTGAAAATGATAACACCATTTTCATATTTATATTTATTTAAAAATTAAATTTGAAATGGTTACGCTACTGATTTGATGTCAAACATCAAATTTATAATATGGCACTGGTTATGACGACACGTTCGCGCATACGACTGCAACTTCAGGTGGGTTCTTGTCACGTGAAACGGTTTCTACAAACATCCTCAATCTTTTTAATACTTACTTAGCTATCAATGTCCAAGTTTCTTCGTCCAAATCTTCCTTGTACACCCTAATTTGATAATTTTCATCTGACTGAAACCAATAGTTGCGACCAGATTTGTCTCTACCAAGAGGTTCAGACCTGAGATCATCGGCGGATTTTCTGTTGATTTCATTTTTGAATTTCATATGATAATCGAATTGCATCTCAAGTAATTCCTAATAAAAAAAAGGAAAAATGTATAAATCCAACATCACTAAACAATATAAATTTGAT